TATCACTTGCACTGGAATGAGCCGGGACTCTTCTAGGTGGTAGCACTTTTCAGAGAACAAAGGAAATCCTGTCCCCCATAGGCATCTGCCCCACCCAAGTCCTCCTTTGCAAGTCTTGGAAATTCTTGAGATTTAGAAGGCAGGAAAAGGGTTTCCCTGGTGTGCTCTAAGGTTTGTTGGGAAAAAGAACTTTTTCTCACCCCCCTCCCCCCGCCCCGCAGATTTTCTCCTCTATTGGTTTGTGTGCAATTGAAAAGTGGTCTATAAAAATGCCTTTCTAATATCTTGAAAGAAAAATAATTCTCTTCTAGGGCACTTGGGTTGTTTCCATATTTTGGCTATTGTGAACAGTGTTGCAATGAACATATAGGTACAGATGTCATGTCTACTGTGCTTTTTTGCATCCTCAGGATATATTCCAAGAAGTGATATGCAGGATCATATGGAAGTTCAATTTCTAGTTTTTTTGTTTTTGCTTTTTGGGTTATACCCAGTGATGCACAGGGCTTACTCCTGGCTCTGCACTCAGGAATTACCCCTCACAGTGCTCAGGGGACCATATGGGATGCTGGGAATCGAATCCGGGTCGGCTGCATGCAAGGCAAACGCCCTGCCCACTGTGCTACTGCCTCAGCCCCTCAACTTCTAGTTTTTGAAGGACTGTCCATATTGTTTTCCAGAAAGGCTGGACTAGTGGCCATTCCCACCAACAGTGAAAGAGCGTCCCCTTTTCCCCACATCCATGCCAGCACTGGTTGCTTTTGTTCTTTTGAATGTGTGCCAGTCTCTGTGGTGTGATACGATATCTCATTGTTTTGATTTGAATCTCCCTGATGGCTAGCTATGTGGAGCATTTTTTCATGATGACTGGTTAAAGAAACTTTGTACATCTACACAATGGAAGACTATGCAGCTGTTAGGAGAGATGAAGTCATGAAATTTGCTTATAACTGGATAGACATGGAGAGTATCATGTTAAGTGAAATGAGTCAGAAAAAGAGGGACAGACATAGAAGGACTACACTCATTTGTGGAGTATAAAACAAAATAACATGAGGCAGACACCTAAGGATAGAAGATACCCGTGACAGGGAAGATTGCTCCATAGCTGGAAGCCTTCCTCATGAGCAAAGGGGAGAAGGCAGCTAGAATAGAGAAGGGATCACTAAGAAAATGATGGTTTGAGGAACTGGTTGGGATGGGAGCTGTGTGCAGAAAGTAGATAAAGGACCAAACATGATAACCCCTCAGTGTCTGTATTGCAAACCATAATGCCTCCAAAAAGAGAGAGAGTATGGGGAATATTTTCTCCCATGGAGGCAGGGGGAGGGTGGGAAAGGGGGGTTATACCAGGGATATTGGTGGTGAGGAATGTGCACTGGTGAAGGAATGGGTGTTTGATCATTGTGTGATTATAATCCACACACGAAGGCTTGTAACTATCTCATGGCGATTCAATAAAATTTAAAAAAAAAAAGAAAAGAAAGAAAAATAATTCAAATAATCTTGATTCCAAATTCTGGAAAGTGACCACCATGCCTTCCTGATAAACATTTTCATACCGTTACTTTGCTATTTTTCACTTTAACGCTGCACTTTGTTAACAGGCCTATACTATGCTTTTTTGCATTTCTAAGGGTAAAAATCTGATGTTCTACAAATTGCTTGATTGAGCAAAATGCTCATTATTTAAAAAGCTTCTGATAATCTCTATTTAGCTGATCTGCAATACTGAAAATGAACAGATAAAGAATAATTTTTTTAAAGGCCTATAAATATGAGTTTTCACAGCAATTTTAACCTGACCTTGTAAAACTATGAAGTTGATATGGTCCATCAAAAAATGTGTGCTGAGGCTGTTCTACAAAAACCCTGACTGAGGAAACATTTTCTTTTTATTTTTTTCACGCTTTTCTCTGAGTTGAAATTACAATCATCAAAAACACATTAAGGTAGCAGTAAAGATCTTATTTTAATCTTCAACAATAGGAAAATTCATTAAGATAAAGAATTCCTCTTTCCATGGGACTCCTCTAGAGGAAGCAATTCTGGAGTGTGAGGATGGATCCTCCGGTCCATCAATTCTTCAAAAAACTATTCACTGTAGGTTGCAACATGGAATGCAGTGAACTAGTTAAAATTTCTTTTGACTGCAAGGGACCTCCGAAACAGGAATGCTCTCAAGGCCGGCTGCTACAGTTTTTAGGGTTTCAGGCACTGGAGTTTACAGTGTAGTTTTACCTCTTACTAGCTATATGGCTTTAGATGGACAACTTCTCTGAGCCTTCTTGCCCAAATTTTTAAAATTTTAAAAGGAAAGTAGTATCAACTTGCACGGCTGTAAGTTTTACAGTTAGTAAATTTTAAATGAATTTTTAAAAACCAGTATAGGGAGTATCTATGGCTGTGACACATAGCTTTGTCACATGGCTGTGACAAAGCTTACACGATGCATCAAAGGGGCCATTGCACTGTGCTTGGCTCACAGCAGATGCTTGATAGATGACAGCCATTATTATTCTCTCTGCTAGAGTCCATTCCCAACTGTTCTTGAAACTTATGCAAAAAAAAAACCACCACAACTATATTCATTTCATAAATAGCTAGCAATTTTATTTATGCATTTAATTAATTAATTTAGGAGGTTTTGGGAAGGTTACACCTGGAGGTGCTCAGAGCTTGCTCTTGACTCTGGGCTTTAAGATCACTCCTGGCAGTGCTCAGAGGACCATATGCTGTACCGGGGACTGAAGAACGGCCAGCTGTAGGTAAGGCAAGTGCATTAACCCCTGCGCTATCTCTCAGGCCCTCCTTCTATATTTCTATTTCTCTATGGTTGGCAAATCTTATTTAAAAAACAGTGTATGTGTGTGTTTGTACTGGGAATCAAACTTAGGGCCTCCTACATGTGAAGCTTGTGCTCTAATATTGAGCCACACCCCAGGTTCTTAATATTTTCCACATGCCATTTCTTTTTCAAAAAAATCTTTTATACTTTAGGAAGTTACAACAGTATCAAAATATACAGTATTGATATACAAAAATTACTATACCTCACTACCACCAAGTGTCCACAGCTCTCTGCCATGTCCCTATTTCTCTTCTAGTCTGTTCATTTTTCCTCTGTTCCTCCACTGTGTGGTTTTTCCAATTTCTTCTAAGTTCTTAATTTGACTCTAAATTCCACAGATGAGTGAGATCTTGACATCTCTAATATCTGTCCTCCTCCCTCTTATTCATTTCACTTATCAAGATACCCTCCCATTCCATCCATGTTGAAGCGAACTACATGACTTCATCTTTTCTTTACAGCAGCATCTATTCCAGTTGTACATACCTTAGAGTTCTTGGCCCATTCAACTTTTGGGTTGTTTCCTTATCCTGGTGATTATAGTAAGTGCTGTAATGAACTTAGGTATGCATATATCCTTTCAAATTAATGCTTTTGTGTTCTGAGGTTTGAAGCCACAAAGTGAAATCATTCGGTCACAGGAGTTCAAGTCTTATACTTCTGAAAAATCTGCACATTTCTTCCATATAAGGTGACCCAGAAAACAATGCCTCATTGTCACCAACAGAGAAAGATGGTTTCTCTCTACCACATTTTTGCTATCACTGGCTGTTTTCAATATTTTTGTTACGCCCCATTTTCATTACTGAGATTACACCTTACTATTTTTCTATTTCCCTAAAAATAAGAGATAATGAACAATTTTTCATATGTCTACTAGCCATCTGTATGCCTTCAAGGAGGTGTCTGTTCTTATATTCTTATCACTTTTGGATAGAGTTATTAGATTTTCTGCTGTTAAGCTTTGTGAGAAGCAGCTGGTCATTTATGAGTTTAAATAATTAGATCCCAAAGAAAATATAAATCAAGCCCTTTGATGGTGTTAATATAGTCACCCTAAAACTATAATACAGGAGTTGGATTATTAGATAGGAGAACTTTTTATTGCCGTGGAGGTGACACTCAGTAGTGGGTCATTCAATGCCAGGGATAAAACCCTGGGCCTCACACACAAAAGATATGTGCTCTACCAATCAAACCACATCCATAGCCCCTAGAAGTAAGATATTTTATAATATTTATCTCTTCACTTCAGACTAGTTTTTGCGTGTTTTGGTTTCTAGGCCATACTCAATTGTTCTCAAGGCTCACTCCTGCCTCTGTGCTCAGGGATCACTCACTCCTGACAGTGCTCTGGAGACCATATGCCATGTTGGGGATCTCAACTGGGTTGCCCAATTTCAAGGCAAGTGCCTTAACCCCAATACTATTTTGTAGGCCCAAACTCCTGAAGGTTTGATCAAACTGCTGACTTTTTAAGTACTTAAAAGATAGTTCAAAGAGCTGGAGTCTAGGCTTTGTGTGAAGAAGGCCTGGATTTGATCCCTGGCACCACACGGTCCCTGAGCACTGCCATGAAAAAGCCTCTAGCACAGAGCTGGGGAGTGGCTTTGGAGCACTGCTGGATGAGGACACAAAAAATCAACAAGAGGTATTAACTTTTTAAATGTTAATAAGGGCATGCTGACAGTCCATGAACAGTAGTGAAGGGATTAAGGCACTTACTGTCCATGCAACCAACCCTGGTTCTATCCATGGCACAACAACAGGGTCCCCCAAGCACTGCCAGGAGTGATCTCTGAGTATAGAGCCAGGAGTAAGGCCTGAACACCCAAGGGTACAGCCCCCAAACAAAAACCCTAAACACTATAGTACAAAACCCACTGTAATTTTAATATATTGATTAATTCTGTTAAATTCATGGCATACACATATAACCATTCTGTGATAAATTGAAAAGGACCAACTGCTGAGTAGATTTTCTCATTATATATTTCAACCGGGCCAAATCTAGATACTTCCTCATAAGGGCCTCTCCCCTGAGTAAGATCCACTAAGAACTGTCAAGTTTTCACCATTTTTAATTAAATAAAACTTCAGTAAATGCTTTTCTCTGGAGAATGTAAAGCAAAGGACCCCTGAGGCTTACCTGGCAGTGTCCGGTTTGAAGGATGATGTGGTTGTGGTTACGAATTCCTTTTGGCTTCCTGTTCTCATAGGAGACGTGGACGCATCCTTTCTAACTCCTATCATTGTCTCTATAGGAACAACAAAGGAAGAAATTTGGGCATTCAAAAAAAGGAAATAAAAAAAATCCAAACTGAGTAACATATTAGATATTTTAGGAAATCCCCAAGAATAAAAGAATGGCAGATGGAAAACTCAGTGAATTGGTGTGGTGTGTAAACAGCAGCAATTACAAAGGTTTTATGTTTAAAATATGTTTTTAAAAGTAATTTGTATGATAGAAGGCTAACCAAAGATTCTGTTTTCAAAGCTGATGGCCTGTCATATTCCTGCTGGTTTTGTTTACTGTGAAACTGCCCAAGAAAGTAAGAGAGACAGTACAGTGGTCAAGGCAGATGCCATGATGTGCAAGGCAGATGCCAGGCAGATGCCACGCCAATCCTGGTTTGATCCCCAGCACCAAGAGTTCCCCTGAGCACCATTTTGGAGGCCCTTCCCAGCCCCTGCAGCTTGTCCCCTCTCCCATGTCAATTAATTTTGTTTTTTGTTCTGGGGTCATACCTGCTAGTGCTCAGAGCTCACTCCTGGCTCTAGCCTCAGGAATCACTCCTGGCAGGGCTCAGAGGATCATATATGTATGACACTGGAGATCAAATTTGGGTCATCTGCATGCAAGGACCACACCATCCCCACTGTACTGTCTCTCTAAACCCAATTATGTTTATTACCTTTATCATATTTTGGGACAACAGTGACATCGGTCAGAAAAATTGTCCATTGAATATGATGTGATCAATTTCATTGTGGAACCATCCACCAGGAGACGCCCACGTCCAATGTTTAGATTCGGCCTTTTGGAACTGTGAGTTACCATGGATGGTCTTGGTCGACATGATGAACTCAGCCAGTCTCTCGCTCTCTTCGTTCCATTTTAGGCCATGGGTCCTGATGTGGAGTTCTTTGGCTGATCTTCTCGGTCCTATCTTGGCATTAAAATCACTGAAAATGATCTTATAGAGGGTGTGGTCTTCTTTATAGAACTTCTCCAGCTTCATGTAGAACTTCTCAATTTCTCCATCATAATTAGATGTTGGTGTGTAGATAACGAAGATAGAAACTGCTGGCAGTGAGCCACATCTATTCAAGTGTAATAGTCAGATTCGGGTTGTAGGCATTTGAATGAATCAATGCTCATGGCCAAGTTCATGTTGACAAGGACACCGACACCTTTGATGTCTCTTTTGTTGTATGTTCTGAGAAACAGTTCTTCTCCAGTGTCGAAAACAGCGTGATGTGATTGATGCCTTCTTGTCTTGGTCAAACCAATGATGTCGTACTTGATCTTTCACACTTGTACCATCAGGTCCTCGATGGATGCATCTGAGGCCAGTGTACGTGTATTGAAAGTACAGACAGTCATTTTTGTTTTTCTTCAGCCTAGTTTAAGCAGCCTAGTTTAAGATTATCCATGACTTCTACTCGGATCTCTTCAATAGCCATGTCCACCTGCCCACATACCAAATTCCGCAGGATCGTTCCCAACGTTCTCCCTTCCAAAATCTGACATGCCATTTCATCCTTCATGCAGCCTAGTTCAGCCTTGAGATTTTATCAGCCTTTCCTTCCTCATCCTTCTTAATGCTGCCGTACTGGTGGCTCTTTCAGGGTCAGGGGAATGAGACCCATTGTATTTACTGGTTTTGGCATATAGAATACGCCACGGATAACTTGCTACACTCTGCTGTGTGGGCAGGATACTCTCAGTAGCTTTCCAGGCTCTCCGAGAGGGATAGAGGTTTATAGGGTGGCCTCTAATCGCCCTTGTAGGTGTTCCCATGGTTCAAACCATATTTGAACCAAATCAAATATGGTGCAGCAATCCTGGAAGATGGGTATTAAGTGTCTTATGATGTGTCCTGAAGCGGCTGCGTGGTCCGGAAAGCATCCTGGTGCGTGGAGGCAGCTGGGTGGTGGAGGTGGTGGAGGTAGTGGAGGTAGTGGAGGTCTGCCGGTGAGGTATTTATCTGGTACTGGTAGGGTGGGTCTTCTGTATGTAATCCCTGAGTCACAGGTGGTTGGTGGAAGCAGACAGGGCAGGGGAGAGTGGGGCTCCTGGTTTTAATCCCTTGGTCATATGTGGTTAGTGAGAGCAGGGAAAGGACCTCTGTTCCCGGGTCCGGGTCCATTGAACCTGGAGTCCAAGGTCTCAGAGTTCCACTTACCTGGTTCTGTGGGGCTTTACTCGTGTGAGTTTTCACTGGACGGTTTTGCCTGACTGATGTGGCTGTTGTCCCAAAATTCCAAACGGGATCGGACAACCGTCTCCTTCATGCAAAATTCTACTTCACAGAGCGGGGAGAAAGGGCTGCAAAGTTTAAGAAGAGAACTCCCAGAACGACCACCAACTGGGAGCTCTTTGGCACTACTGTGGCAACATGGGAAGATGCCATCCTTGACAACATTGATGAGGAATACGATCAACTGGTTCAGCACCTCCCAAGACTGTGTGAGAAACACCAAGAGAGAAATAGCCACAAAAAAAGCCTGTCTTTGAAAACTCTTGAGCTTATTTGCCAAAGTGGTGTGGTGCAAGCCTCAGACAACCGCAAACGAGCTTGCAAAGCAGCGCAGAGAAGTGATAAAGGAAGACCTCAAAGAAAGAAGAGCAGCAGTGCTGGTAGATGCAGCAGAAGCCAGGAAAAGTATTCGTAATGCCTGCCTGTCCTTCACCAATGACAAGACCGAGATGACTGCCCTCCGACGTCCTGATGGATCTATCACATCTTCCAGAAGGGCAATGGAGAAGATTATCCATGACTTCTACTCGGATCTCTTCGATAGCCATGTCCACCTGCCCACATACCAAATTCTGTAGGATGGATATGTCATTCCCAACATTCTCTCCCTTCCAAAATCTGACACGCCATTTTCGTAGGTAAAGAAGCGAACAGCATCTGACCCAGACAAGATCAGACCTGAACACCTGAAGAATCTGCCGTCGGTACTCATCAATACATTGGCTTGGCTCTTCACACACTGTCTGAATGCAAGGTTCCGTCCCAATAGAAAACCAGCAGGACTGTACTACTGTACAAGAAGGGAGACATCCACGACATTGGCAACTATCGCCCAATCTGCCTATTATCATTGACAAGCTGTTCACTCAAGTCATCCTGAATAGGACAGGCAGAACACAAGGTGAAGGACAACCATGCGAGCAAGCAGGGTTCCACAAAGGATTCAGTACAATCGACCATATCCACACGATAACCAAGCTTATTGAGGTTTCTCAAGCGAGTTCAAGATGCCGCTCTATCTAACATTCATTGATTTAAAGAAGGCCTTTGATTCTGTTGAGACTGAAGCAGTCATCGAAGCCCTAGCCAATCAGGACATTCAAACTCAATACATCAGGATACTCCGTGATCTTTATTACGGATTCCCTACTAACATCTCACCATTCTACAAAGAAGTGATCATCCATGTCAAGAGAGGGGTTCAGCAGGGTGATACCATTTCACTGATACTCTTCAGTGCCATCCTCGAGAATGTCATGCGACGACTGGAATGGGAAGGAATGGGAGTGATAATAGACGGTCGGCAACTACACTACCTCTGCTTCGATGATGACATCATTCTAATAACACCAAATATTAGCCAGGCAGCACAAATGCTGCCTGACATCAAACGTATGTGTGGAAAGGTCGGACTGCAGCTGAATCTCATGAAGACAATGTTTATGAGAAACAGTCTCTCTCCTGATGTTCTATTCACTCTCAATGGAATGAACATCTCTGAATGCAACAGTTATGCGTACCTAGGTCGAGAAGTCAACATGATGAATGACCTGGTACCTGAGTTGCGCAGGAGGAAGAGAGTGGCTTGTAATGTCTTCAAAAGCATCGAAGAAATAGCTAAGAGGGTGAAGAACCTCTGGCTCTGGGCACATTCTTCGATTCCACTGTTCTTCCTGCATTAACATACGCCTCAGAGACCTGGGCCCTATGAAAACTGGATGAGAATGCTATTTGGGTCTCCCAAAGAGGAATTGAAAGAGTTATGCTTGGAGTATCATGCTACACTCAAATGAGAGAAAGAATCCAGAGTTCTGAGTTCCATTGGTTGTCAAGAATCAGGGACACTGTCTCGTTTGCCAAGGCGTCGAAAATCAGATGGGTTGGACACATAATGAGATTTGGAGATGACTGCTGGACTAGAGCCATTACTGATTGGATTCCATGGGACATCAAAAGATCGTGTGGCTGCCCACCTACGACATGGTCAGACTTCTTCATCAAGACCCTGAACGATTGGTTTGAGGCTCTTTGTGTTCCTAGAACGAGCAAAAGCCACTGGGCTACACTAGCACGTGACAGGGACGAATGGAGACGTTACTGGCGCCTGCTCAAGCAAATCAATGAGTAATGGGATGTCAAGTGATCAAGTGATCTATCATATTTTTTTTCTCTTCCTTGATAGATTAGAAAATTCTACCATATTCTGTCTACAAACCTCCTAAACTAATTTTTCTCCCCAAATTTTCAAGGCAGAGATCTTACATACTTATCTTTTCTCTTTTTCCTTCATTTCTCCTTCACACCCTGTCATCTCCTTTCTTTTTTCTTTTCTGTTTGCTATGGTTTGAAGCACACAGAAAAGGCTCCACTTATGCAAGGCATGAGCAATGACTGCAGTCATTCATGGGACATAAAAAAAGTAATATGAGACTAATATCCATGGGGAGTATAAACAAGACCCAGGAGGACAGGAGGACTGGTTCATGGATGGACGCTTACCACAAGTGGAATGACAGTCGGGGTGGGGGGGGGAGGCACAGTGAGGAGGGGAGAAAGTGGTTAGAATAGAGAAGGGACCACTGTGACAGTGTTAATTGGAAATGATCACTCTAGACAAGAACTGAGTGCTGAAAGTAGGTAAAGGGATAGACATGATAACCTTTCAGTACCTGAATTGTAAACCAGGAGGAAAGGGGGATTGAAAGGGGGGGGGGGGAGAGAGAGAGAGAGAGAGAGAGAGAGAGAGAGAGAAAGTGCCTGCCATAGAAGCAGGC